TTACATACCCCCCCATCCTCACACATAACACAGACGCGGGATTCTTCACTTATAATCAGAATGGACCCTTAACTTTTCACTTTAGCATTTTGTTTCAGCATTCATTAAAAGGGCTCAATAAGCTATATAGCTCATTTATAGAAATAAAAGGAGAGTTCTTATTAGTTTTCACTGACTCCTGCAGAAAGAAAAACAAAATTAAAAAATCTTGTGAAAAGTGTTCAATTATCTTTTGTAACCTCAACCTATTAAACTACCTTTTAAAGTAGCCAATCTATATTAAAATGCAGAACGAAAAACCATACTAATATGCCAAACTATAAAAAAAATTCCAAATGGGAGACATTTGAAACCAATTAAGCGGCAGCAGCAGTGTGCAAAAACAAAGATGTGTTCGTCAAAATTGTTCTTAGGAACACTGTTCACAAGGATGAGAGAAGTCTCAGTCAAACAAAAATTAAAAAAAAAAAACTCTTTGGTACAGGAATTAAAAATGTCACTCAATGCTAAAGTTAGTAGCACCAGGATGTTTTAGTTGTTGAGGTTGTAAACTGCTAACTTCAGGCACCAGTAGGTTAAAGTATCACCCGATGCACACTGGCAAGAGCACAGAGTTGCAACATGCAGACCATCGTGCCCTTTAGTTAACAGCCTATGCAGTTAAACCCTGTACTTAGTCAAACAGGCAAGCAAAACCACAAAAAGAAACACACCTTTTGTTGTTGCTCTTTTGTCCACACCTTTGTTCAAACATAAAGCTATCAATACCACAAAGATCCAAGTGGTGAATGACTGTGGTGAGCACCACATCACATGTGACAGGTATTTATGATACCAATAGGTTAGGTGACCTTCGGGGAATCAAGAACTCCAAAACAGCCCATATTTTAAAGTGAAAATCATCCTCTATACACAAATTGCTGATTTTTCCTCTGGTGACAAAATTTACTAGAATACTTAGTATCCTTTCTCTGCAACAGGAGGCTTGTAAAAAAGGACCCGGTCTTTTCAAACTTTCGGCAACCTATTCATTTCTCCTCTGCATTCAATAGCTGCACCTTTCACGTTATTCATAACACTTCGGGTGAACCTATGCTATATAATTATGATATTTAAAATTTAAAATCATTTCTCAATCAAAGGCATCTAGCCAACTGATGAGAATCAGCAATATAAATAAAATGACTCTTAACTAAATGCTTACGTGCAGTAGCAACCCTTACAGTAAAATGGTATCAACAAGAGGTAAGACTCAAATGATTGCAGCCGGGGGAGTTTCCTGATGTCACAGAGACTGTACCCCATCAACCCTGTTGCTGAGATGGTGCTTATCCATGTCCTGTCTAGCCTCCTCTCCATCCTTGTAAATGCCCCTGCTCTCTCTATCCAATTTTGGCTACTCACTACTCATTTGTACCTGCCCTCTATGGTGGACAAGGGGAAAACGACATACAATATTAAAAATATATATAATGATAATGGAAAATGGTGGCAATATCAACAACTGAAGAACTGTAAATACCACTGTTATTTCTGTTTCAAATCAGCACTAGCAGGAAGTATTACAACATCTGAAGAACAGACAAAAATGAAGTAAATTTTGTTGTTAAAAATTGCACAACGATAATGAAAAGAGACATCAGAGAAAACACTTTCCTGAAATTAAGCCATCATCGTCCCAACGGCAGCAGAACTGTCAAATACTGGTTGATGTATAAAATAACAACATGGGGTCAAACTACTTTAAGCAAGTTGCTCCTATTACTTCCTCACATTCTACTATAGGATATTCTAGAATTCAATTGAGAACGGCTAAATTCAGAGCATAATGAAATTTTTGATTTATAGATAAATTGAGGATGATTCTTAGAGTAAAAGGTAACAAATGTGGACATTAAATAATACTCATTCAACTGTTAATCATATGGTTAATAACACTAGCAAGTAGACTACACTAAATGTATATGACTAACTACATTTGCCAATACTTATATTTTCAAAAGCAAGAGTAGGTTGGGTAAACAATCTAATACTTGTATCTATTAGTAAATTATTTAACGCTTGTAAGTATAAGCTTTCCCAAATAAATTCTAGGTATATCTACATATATTAGAGGTGATATCAAAAATTTATTTAATGAAGCAGCAACAGTTTAGTAAACTTGAGTTGGATAATCTATTGGTAATACATCAAGTACAAGGGAAATAGTTAGAGACTAGAAAAAAGTCCAGGCAGAGACTAGCAGCTCTGTTAACATGAATGCCATTGTAAACCAGGGCTGGACACACTGATTTTATAGCAACATATGTGAGAACACTCAAACTGCCCTCTGGTCTAATACATAGAAAATTGTGTGGCCATAGTCTAAATTACTTCACATTTCCTGGTTGGAAGTGTTATTCTAACCTAAGTCTTCATGATTAGCACTCAAGAAATAATATATCCTTTTGGGTGAAACACACCTTCAAGTAATTACTTTTATGAAGTGACTTGAAAAAGCCTGATGATGAATATTTATAACTAGCCAGCATCCTTAGAGAAAAATACCTCTAAGCATTAGCAAAAATTCACTGATGTTCAGTCTGACAGAACTTTTAACTTAGTTGTTATACTGAACATTATCTATGTTTATGTGCTCTAATTCCATTACTATTAAAAGTAAACTATGCTTTCTTCTGTGAAAAGAGATTAATACATTAACTAAAATGTAAAATACAGCTATCTCTTATGTTAACCACAAATATTTTTAATACAACTCTTAAGCAAAATAGTATTTTTCTTATAATGGAACACCTTCACATATTTTAAAACTATATGTCTTAGTTACAAAGTACCAAAAGCTCTTTAACCGAATGCCTACTGTTTGAGGGATTCTGAACTCAGTCACTTTTTGCCTGCAATCTTGGGCCCATAAACGTGTTTGTTTGCAGAAGAGAACAACAAATATAATTGTTCGAGAGGTGTAAGCTAGACCATCTAGCTAAAAATCTTTCATTTCCAGAAGCCCAACTACAAACTTGGCTGATGTAAAGCATCCTTTAACATATATTTTGCTTAAAACAAAATGGAATGTTTGTAAGGAAATACTTCTTCCAACAAACAGATCACATCAGTAATCCCACTGCTCATAACTATTTTCTAATGCTCAACATCATTACTTATTTTCACAGCTATCCAAAATACATAACACAAAGACTACTAAAGTTACAGCTATAACTCTGAATAGGAGAGTTAAAAAAGAATGAAGAAAAGTACAGAAAAGAATTATTAATCTCTTATTTTTTTCAACGCAGTAGAATCAGTCAAAAAAACAAGTCATTCCAAAACTGAGATTAAAAAAACTAAACGTATTTTTTTCTATATTCATTAAAACACATTAGGTACTTGCTTGCTGATGTAACTACAATAAGTTTCTGTGGTTTGTAATAAATTGGTCATTTTAGGTAATGGCTTTCCTAATTCTAAGGACTTAATTTGCCAAAGCAAAGGTTTAAAATAAAATTCATGAGGTGGTTTACATTTGTTTATCCTGATCTGATAGAAATTTCTAATGGAGAGTAAAAAAAAAAATAAGAATATACATAAATGAAGCAAAGTAGTTATCACACTTATATGAAGTAGACGTTGCCATCATAAACTGGAACACACTGATTTTCATAAACCCTTACATTTTTGTACATACACTCCCCCTAAGTTCTGGCATGTTCAGAATTAGGCTATACAATTAATTGTGGTGCAGTAAATCTCTAGAGCCAGTATAATTACCCCAATTAGCCAAAAGAGGGCGCAGCCAGAACACAACTAGACTTCATGCACTCCCTAGGAAACTGCCAGTTGGTTTCTTCAAGTCCTGGCACAAGAATTATAAATCCAGTTAGGTGTGCTAACTTGGGAATACTGAAAGTTACAGCATAAGGATATGTAGAGATATGCTTTAATACAGATTCTTATATAAATAGATCGATATATAGCATTTCTGCCATTCAAACAGAATAAATACATGCCTTGCCTAGTGTATCAGTTCGTATGCCAGTAACTTAGAGGAATCAAGTAGCGGGATCAGGACCGAGGGTAAAGAGAAAGAACGGAAGTAAATGTGCCTAGAAGTGGTGTATCTAGGAAAAACAAAAACCACCTTTGGAGCGGGAAAGAGACCACCTCTGGCTCTCATTGCTGAGGCAGAGGTTGGCACTAAGGACCTCCCAGGTGTGTACCTTTAAGGTAGCTACTGCTACTATATGAAGTATAAGTATGTCCATAAAACTCTTTAGTGGGGGTCTAGAGTTGGCTTTGCTTTCTCTCAAGGTTCTCATTTGACAGGAATGTATACAGCATAAGGCATCTGACTGATATCCATCTATGTATCTACACATTACTTCCCTATAACCGTTCTGTCACCAGACCGAATTTGGTCAATATGTTAGCTTGTACAAAACCCAACCCAGTTGCCTGACACGAACATACTAATTTTGTGGTTCATTAAGCTCTATAAATATACTTCTCGTATTAAATTTCCTATGCATCTTATCAGCACCAATAAATATTTTCATCTGCCACTTCTAAATTTTTAATAAAGCACTGCAGTCAGAACATAAAAGACATGGTATTTATATCTCTGAGAACAGCTTATTCAATTATCTTAGAAGATATTTACAATTCCTGAAAGAACTAACTACAGTATAGTTAACTGGATGACAATGCAAATGTTCGGTTTCATGATTTCTCAGGTGTGACTCCTGACTCTCAAAACTAACTAAAAGGAAAATATTGATATGCTCCAAGAACAGCAGACCCCTTCAATCTTCTCTTCAAGGCAAAGACTGTGAGTACATACATTTTCTAAAAAGATATATGGATTTTGCAGTATTCTAATGGAAAAAAATGTAAAAGCTGAATTTTTCAAAGCATGCTAAATGTCTTTTCACACAAATCTTCTATGCTTTCCAAGAGACCATCCCCATTGCAACTTAAATTTGTATAAGCTAATGGTAAATATAGATAATTACGTTTTCTTGTTGTAAGGTCATTTCTTAACATTAGCTACTAACAAAAGGTCTCTCAATCCAAATTTACAGTTGGCCGATTAAAATTTCATTTCAATTTGGGTGATTATAGGTACACAAAGGTTACTTACTTTTACTAGCAACTTCCTATAAATAAAATTTCATTATTTAGTTGGCCAATATCTATTACATATAAACCTTCAATGTGTAATTTTGGACCAACTAGTAGGTAAATAAAAGTAAAAAGTGTATATATCCATGTGTGTGTTGTAAAAGCACAATATTCCTCCTTATACTGTACATTGTACACTATGTAGTACACTAGCATTTTAAAAACATATGCATTCTAATATAACTGTACTAGAAAAGGTACCTGTGGAATTATTGCAAATTCTCTACCCTTTTGCTCATCAAAATCTTAGGGTAAAACAGAATACATGCCCGTGTGGTCAAAAATTCTGCCTTGGAGCAATTACTTTAACAATAACCAATAATTACATCAGTACAGGGAAAAGAAGTGGAAAAGTTAATATGGAAAAAAAATTCATCTTCCCTTTAAAATAAGGTAGGTAGTTGGTGTTTTATCTTAGTGGTGTTTTTAATTTGTTTTTGGCGAAGAGAAAAACAGAAAACAGAGAGCTACTTCTAAGAAAACACTGCCCTTTTTCTGTTGTTGTTTTTGGTTTTTTGTTGTTGTTCAATTCTATACCGCATTAAGAAAATCCCGCAGCACATATAAAAGGCAGTACTGCTATTTAAATTATGATGTATTTGAAAAAAGAAAACTTACATATAAGATGTATCGACTTTTGTAAACCCGAAGAATTAAATTCAAATTTGGTTAGTACTGCTTAAGAGTGAAAAATCTAAATAAACATCTGAAATTTCCCATAAATTAAAATCTGTAACATTGTCAGTACTAAAAAAAATTATGTACAATTATTTTATTTCAATCACTGCCTTTGGGGTCTAATCACAAAAGCATTTAAAGAAATCCCTGGGGAAAGCTAATTTGAAAGTAAACATGCTTTAAAACTTAAATATAGATCTCGTATTAGTCCCACAACAGATCAAGATCACTATTAAAATAAAGCCTGGGGCACATTATGATGCCTAAGATTGGTGGGTGGATTTTAATTGACTTGAAGACTGTCATAGTTCTATTATCAGAAAACCTGTAACGCATTTCCAGCATGGAGGACCCATCTGTGCCCACCATCCATCTGTTTAGACGTGATTGGCAAAGTGGTAGGGAACTCGCAGTGGTTGCCTCTGCCTGAAAGGAATAAACCACAGGATCTTCCAACGAGTGCCAAAAACTTCTGAGAAGGTCTGCTGCCATGGCTTTCGGGGCCTCGATCTACAGAAGACAGCATTATTAGTGAAAGACAGCACTCCCACGGCGTACTTCAGTCAGCTAAAACAATACAGGTTGGCTGGGGATCCATTACTGGACTCTGATGAATTGTGTCCCAGCATCACAAATACAGCTTTTCTTTCATTATGGCATGCAGCTGAGTTTTAACTCCGGATAGCAGATATTGTATCTGTGTCGTCAATCAACCTAGGGCAACTTTTGAAGCAGAGGAGAATCTCGGGATTAACAGAATGTGTGTCAACAACACAGTAGCAGATCTCTTTTGATGTACTTTCGGGACAAATAATTTAACTTACTTTAGTTAGACAAGGAACAAGAAGGATCAGTACTTATTTTGTTTGAAAACTATCATGGCTTGAAGACCCCTACTGGAAGACTGGATTATGCTTGCCTAGCTCAGGCCTTAGACAGGGCCCCGAGTAAAAGCCATCATTATGTTATCTTTCCACTGCATGCACACATTTTTCAAATGTGGCCCGCTCTTTCCAGTTTTAAATAAAAAGTACTACAGACTTCACGTTTATACTTACATTTCTTCACAACAGTTTGACATCTTTTCAATAGATGTTGTATCCTATCGAAAATGAAAGAAAAATTATACTCAGATGGAACAAAGTTATCAAGGCTTTATCCTATATCTACTTTATGAGGCTTTTCATCATATTCAGAGAATATTCTAAAGATTTAAGCAGTTTACATATGGGTACTAAGAATTTTAAATTACCACATACATTGCTGAAAGCACCTTGACAAAAACAGAATGCACATTACACTGTGCCAAAAAAATTATTCAATTACAAAACCTCACAAAAACTGTAGGAGTCTCACTTTATTAAAATATAACCTTCTATTACATTTGCTTTCTTTGATAATTCTTTTAAAAGTCTAGGATTTATTTTTAATTCAACTGTCAGTGAATATGCATTAAAAAATAAATACCAAAATGACGAATTAAAGGCACTAATGAACAGAAAACTGCCAAGAGCCAAAGAGGGCTACTGGTTCTGGATTTCTATAAACAAACACAAATCCAACAAGGCTATGCATCTGCCATATTACAGCATCAATTACTCTGAAAAGTAAAATGAAACTATTTTTTAACAGAAAAATCAGTAACTTCATAATAATACAATTTATTATATGTTTTCTGTAAAGCTCTAAAACAAATATGTAAGCGAAACAATTCAACAAAGAGAAGACAGTTTTTAGACATGCTGGTTTCATTTACATTAAGAGAAAATCCATCGCTAGGCTGAGAAGCTGTGATGGTTAATAGCCAGAAAATCAAAACACAAATCACACAATCTTATTTTAGACATATATTTACATTTTAAACACATTTCAAAGTACTACAAAAGAAAATATGTTCTTTTAAATATATGAAGAACGTGACAGATGTGTTCCTCCTCTTATCCTCTACTTGAAGAGCTTGCTCACATACGACAGGTGGACTACACTGTTACTAAACAGAGCTATGATTCATGCAGATAGCTGAGATGGCAACTCCAATCCCAAGAACTTCGGTTGCAGACTCTCTTCCAATAGTAGTAATAAAAAAAACACTTTGACTTTAAAAATTTCTCCTTACAGCAGTTACATCAACAGCTCACACTATTAAGTTCTTAATGTATGAACAGCCCACATACGAGAAAATAAATCTATTTTGTTAGATGACCAAGTCACCGACAGCAGTGTTCCATTTCCATATTTCCTGGGAATTTGTGACAAGATTGTAGATTAGCCACATATTCCATATTCATTAGTTTTCCTATCAGGCTTTGAAATTCATGGTGTCCAATGACAAGTCTATTTATAATTAACTTTTCTCAGTTCTGTTGCATTATTTCCTCAAAATAACGTTTTACTTTGTGACAACACAGTCTGCAAATACATGAGAACATTGGTTATGGGCTTAGAGGAAAGCGGAGCCTCAGTTCCACATCTGTACAGAAAGTGAATGAAGTAATCTGAACGGTTCTTAGCACTGATGGGCGACACGTTGCCCCCAAACAATGAAGGCAGCTTGTGCAACCAGGCAAAGGAAAAGACAGGACAGAGGTCTGTAAGTGCTCTTAGGACATGCAAGTAAATGGCCTCAAATCACAGTTGTGGATAATACTCACAAACTATGTCAGGGTAAGAAAGACAACTACAAAGTCAGACTAGTACACCTAGTATTACAGTAAATTTTTACTATGCATAAATTTACAATTTGATTAAAACTTTGAGGTACTTATTTGTGGCAATAAAAGAATCAACTTCAAAGACTTTGGATTTAGACTTCATGTGGGAAAAGCTTTTACTTCCAAGTGCTTTTGACATCGTTCCAGAATCTGGTTCAAGAAATAAGGAGAATAGTACCTGTTAAGTCATTGTAAACAGATGGTTATTCTATCAAAGAATGTGATGTTTACCATGACTTTTTGAACAGGATTTGTAAGGCTAGCCAGGAAAGGCTTTTTTTGTCCCCTCTAGAAATAGCAAATGCTTATCTCTCTGAAACTCAGCTATCAAGAATACTGTTATAAGAAAAAAATACAATTTGTATTTGAATAGTCAAACATGGCACAAACACGTCCTTGGCACTTATAGAACGTGCTCAGAACAACACAAGTCAACATGCTATCACATTCGTAAATACAATAGGAACTGCAAACCAGAGGAGGAGAGAGGGTTACTAATGGCAGAACACTGAAAACCACAAGTTAGTGCCCAAAGTGGCAAATGAGGTTTAATACACTTTTTTTGCATATGTTGCAAAGCAGGGAAATGTGGACTATTTTAGAAAGAAACACACTAAAAATAATTAAAATAGATTTTGGTGCAGATAATTTCATTCAGCATAAAAGACTCAATACCTTTAATGACCATCAGGAAATGACCAATAAGATACTTGCCATCTTTAAGGAGTATAATTTATAAATCCTTAGTTATACATAAAACTCAGCTATCCAGAAAAATTCGTCCTTCAAAGAATGATAAGAAACAAAGTGTTTATAGTATGTTGTCTATAATCAGGATAACTTACCTCCAGAAAAATATTTATGTCACGATGATGGGTCTAATGACCAAAATATCTAAGACTTCCATCCATCTGCCTAACTAAGAGATATATGAAAATCCTTTCCTATTTTATTTTTGGAGAGAGCGAGCGAGCATATGCAAGCCACTGGGGAGGGGCAGAGGAAGAGGGAGAGAGAATCTTAAGCAGGCTCCACACCCAGCACAGAGCCCAATGTGGGACTCGACCTCACAGCCCTGAGATCATGACCTGAGCCAAAATCAAGAGTTGGACGCTTAACCAACTGAGCCACCCACGCGCCCCTGCTTTCTTATTTTAAAAACTGAAAGTTTATTTTCTAAAAAAGAATAAACCAGAAACAGCAAGACCTACATGGGCCTTGCCTATTTTATCAACTGATACTTTATCTTCTCCTGCTGGCTGATCTTACCCTAAGAAATGATCTTTCAGGTTCAGTCTAAGAAGATAAGTTAAAATATCCTAACTAATAAGATTATATCTGGAATGGGGGGGGTGTTCCTAACAGAAAGGGAGAGGAAAGTACTTATTGTCTGTTAGAAAAATTAGGAGGAGTGGGAACCAGAGAGCAAGAATTTATCACCATTTCCTGGTTAACAGTCTTGAGAATCTGGCCCTCTTGGAAGAGACAGCTTGATGATACAATCCATCCAACTGACTCATCCTGCTTTGAGTTCACCAAGCAACACTGCCATATATGTTGTCGTACAGGAGAAAGAATGTGCTGGGAAGTCCTTTGGCACACCTGACGACTGCACATAAGAGAATAAACAGTCAATCTGGTTTATACGACTATCGCTTTGGAGTCTGAAATTAAGAGTCACTGCCTCTGGATCTAACTCTGGAAACGTTTTCAAAATGGAGTTTCTAGACCTGCCAAACTGAAAACCTGATGCAAGTTAAGAGCATTCCATCACAAAGACACAAAGACAGTTCAGTCTAACCTCGATGACTGCCTATCACTCTTTATTCTTACTTTACTCTCTGTTGCACATACCTTATTCAGTGATTCTGTTGATTTAATCTGGAGTTAAAAAAAAATGCTCAGGAACTTTTTTTCACAACTGGAGATTATGTACCTGTTTTATCTATTACTAATGTCTATTAATTCTAAGACAGACTTTTGCTTGACTTCCTAGCACCTCTTATCAATGTAGGGACAGCAGCTTTGTTATTTTCCATAGCACCCAGCAGCATATGTTGTGTCGAGTGGGTACTCAATATATGTTTGCAGCACTAAACTCACTGAACATGGACATAAATAGCACGATTCCTTAATTTTTTCGTTGCAATCCAAAGAGAGAACATTTCCTGTTAATCACAGCTCTCTCTCCTCCTTTGAAGCCAGGACTCACTATACTCCTCATTTGAAATAATTGGTTTTTTAAGCATCTATCTCCAACAGAGGACCAGCTCTTTTCTTTTATTAGAGACCTGGAGTTCACATAAACATTTAATCAGTCATGGAACCAAAGTGAGAAAGCTGTAGAGCTTTTATGTATAGTCACTGAAAATCTCTTTCCAAAATAATTCCTGTACTTCTCTTCATCAAGCCACTTTCTGGCTATATAAAACAACGGGAAAGTTACTAAAACTCTGTATCTCAATTTTCCAAATAATAACTCCTTACTCATAGATTTTGGTAGCATTAAATGAGTTAATATATGTTAGAGCCCTTAATAACTCCTCAATAAATGGCAGTCCTACTTTTTATTGATATTGCCTGCTATGCTTTTTATTGATATTGCTTCCTACTATACTCTTTTTTTGAGAGGGCTTAGAGATATGGTATCTCAGTTACATCAGAATATAACTTCTAAAAGGTGGATTTTATAATGAAAGATAAAATGACAAGGACAACGGGAGACTACACAGATAAATCCAATGTCCACAAGGGGCTCACAATCCAGTTGAAAAAAAATAAGTACTACACACATAAGCCAGGATTCATTTACTCATTTATCCATCTATCAAAAATTTACTACGGACCTATGATAACACAATCCTTAGCATCAAGGAGCTTACAGTCTAGTGAAAGCAGTCAAGTATACAAGATAACCGAACAGAGATACACAGAGAATGCCAGAGAGAATGGTTACATACAATAACACATTGTGTAAGTCAGCCTTATGCTAAACATTTGAAACAGCTGGAAACTATGTCCCCAATCAACACTCCAGGTCAACTACTCTTAAACATTTTTAATACAAAATTATACTTTCAATAAGATTTTTGGTGACCAGTATATTGGTAAGATGGGCTAATGTGCCTCTCTGGCTAAGATTCAGGGAGTAACTAATATATTGACAAAATGTGACAGAGAAGTATATGAATCGTTGTGAGAAAGATCTACAAGTTAACTATAAATATAGGATTCAGTATTTTCTCCAATCCTACAGTAATGTTTTAAAGTCAGATAAAAAATTCATGTAGATTCAGAACATGAGAAAATAAAATGAATGTTTGGGTAAAAATGCAAGTAAAATGAAAACTCTTATATGTTTAGCTTCTTTACCAAAAAAAGCATCGATTTA